CATTTAAAATGCACATGTGTTTTTAGAGAAATGTCAGGTAGTTTTCACAAAGTCAGATTCAGGTTAAACCAGTTTTATGTTTGTTTTGAACAAAGCTTTTGCCTTATGCTTTCTTTTTTTCAGACAGAGGATTTCCCGAGGGAACAATGCCAAAAGCAGCCATCCTAATATTTCACTAATATGCATCATTCTTCATAGTGAGATTACTGTGCATTGCCAGTGTGTATTGAAATAACTTTTTTTCATAATTCTTAAGCTTTTAATTTCATTTCAGATGGAGAACAAAACAAAACTTGGATTATTGTTTTCTTATGATGTATGCCCAGAAAAAGGGGGTTTATTACATTCAGGTAAATTTGTCGTCTTTGTTTTGAGATAGGTTTTCAAATGAGTCTCCAGAAGTTACGCTGTTCGACACATCAGAATGACCTACACAGAACAGAGATAACTTGATTTCATAGTTGAAGGAGGGTATTAAGTATGGAGCTTATGGTATATAAGGAAGTAATTTGTGGAGGACACTGTGAAGTAGAAAGTAATTTGTCCTATGCGACTTACTTTATCTTAAGATGCTTAGTAAAAAAACTGAAGGAATGCAGAGAGATTAACTGCTGTTTTTCCCTTGTCCTCCAAATGAGTTATCGTTGAGTCGCCTAGGCAAAAAACACCAGCATAGTTTTGAGTGGAAATCGAGCTAAAATCCATTTAGCTCCAATCCTTTCTTTTGAAGAAAAATGCAGCATCACTTTAATATGACTGTTTTGTATAGATACGTTTTCAGTGTGTTGGTAGACACATGTTGATATCACTGCTACCTTCCTCTAGCTTGAAGATGACATCGTTGTCAAGCAGAATTATTTCAGCACAATAAAAAATTTTGCACTTCAGCTCGCTTCTGAAGATTGGATGATTCTAGAATTTTCTCAGCTGGGTTTCATTGGTAAGAAGATGTTCACTTTAGTAGTTCAAAAGAACACATTCATCCTCAGACTCTGTGAATTAATAGTGATCTGACTTCAAAGCTATCTTCTTTGTATTGGAAATAGACCAAGAAGTAGAAATTCATTGGCTTTTTTAGGAACTCTGGTTTAACTCGTGGTTTTTTGTTTTGTTTTTTTTTTTCTTTTTCCCTTCCCAGTTGTTTCATATACTTTTGTGTGACTGAGGCAAACTCAAACTGTTGGGAAAGAGGATATTTTTATAACCAGAAGTTAATTAATTTATAAAAATACTACCAGTCAAACTGCAAAGCATGACTTATTTCGAATTTTGCTGCTGTTAAAACAAAAATGTCATTAAAACACAACTGACTGAAGTAAAAGAAAAAAGCATGAAAACTAACCCCACCTAAAACAACTTCATTGGTGTTTGTGACAAAATTTCCAAGAATCAGCAGGCATCAGTTTGTCTTGGTTGCAAAGCGTGTTCCATCTCCACCTTTCTACTCAATCAAGGAGAAGTTAGGACAGTCTGCTCCTTCTTAGGTGTAGTGAGAGCCTATCTGTCATTTGCAATGAGCAACAGTGAGAGAAGCTAATGCAGCATCTACTGGGTGCTTTTGAAATTACTTTATGGTTCTTTGCTCTTACAGTAATATGTTTTTATTGAGAGGTACAAGACTTAACAGAAAAGCAATGAAAGAGACGTTTTGAAGGGATTTTACAAATCAAAAGGTTATTTCATTACTGCAGTGATGTGTCATGATCGGTTTAAAACCACTAAGCTGAAGATATGGGAGGAAAAATCAAAAGCTAAGTCAGACTGTGGAGCTTCCTGTACTTAGTCAGCACAAACGATTCCAATGCAAAGGGTGTAAGTTGAGCGCAGAACAGGAGGAAGATCCTACCTGTAACAGATAAAGGGTAGTCCTGAGTTCTGTCCTTCTCTTGGAAATTCTTGTTGTTCTCTTGTTTTTACTTTGGATCTACCTTCCAGAGAACAGCTTCCTTTTTAGCTCAGTGACCCATAATGGTAGCACTGAGGACATTGGCACTGTGTGAATGGCAAGTAGTATCCTGTTTCAGCTCAGCACCAGGTGAGCTGCTGAGGCAATAGTTCCCTGACTTTCAGGGTCTCAGAGGTTCACTGAGTAGAAAGGAAAACAGTAGTTATCTCCTAAACATGCTATCTTAGGGTACAAAATGGTACTTTGTACTTGCCTGTCAGCCTAACCTACAGAAACAATGGAGGAGAGGAAATAGGTAGAGGGAAGTCTTCTGATCTGTCTGGCCACCACATAACCATCTTCTTGGTTGCCTTGGGCTACCAACAGAGATGCACTGTTGCTGAAATACTTACTGGTTTTGTGGCCTCAGAGGTGGAAGGGAGAAACAGGAAGTGGAGCTGCCAATCATAGAGAAATAAGCATTTAAATAATTTACTGGAGCTTTTGCCCTGAGTAGACTTGTCTCTTCTGTTGGGGAGCCCCTTGCAACTCTCTGTGATTCCATGGCTGCAGAGACTGGTTGAATACCAGCATCTGATTAGGCTTTGTTTCTACTTTTGAACAGTTAAATTGTGGGTTTAATTGGGGTTAGAGTTTTAGCTCCAGTCCTCATTGCACTTGAAATGTAAATTCTGTATGAAGTTCCTGGGCTATAGAAGTAATTTATGTTCATTGTACATTTGCTTAATTTAGTAGTACAGCGTAATCACTTACAAATTACAGTTTTGTAAGATTGACATTTCAGAATGGGCATAAAACCAACTTATAGTTCAGGACATGCACTGACTACTCCATGCAGATGGGGGCATATTTCAGATCACTTATTATTTGTGTATTTCACACCCCTTTCAGTTCTCAGTGCTGCTATAGAGGGCACAGTGTCGTAAGCCAGAAGGGGTATGTAGGTAGTTCTTAATATTGAGATTTGGCTTAATCAACTGCACAACTTCAAAAATATTTTGAAGTTGTTTTTCTATACTGTCTGTATACTTTGTTTCACTGTAGGCTCTGAAAATAGTTGTAGTTAGATTTAGTTGTTAGCTCCTGCTGGTTGCATCCCTGTTCTTTGTTCCTTGTATCATATTTGCTTGCCTCCTTTTAATTAGATGATGTCAGTAGTATTTCAGATGCATTTAGCTATGGCTACACGTCTTAATGTTGCTTTTCTACCTAGAAAATTAAATTAGGATTTTTTCTCCCAAGTTAACTACTTATCCTGCTTTTAAGTTTTGAGAGAAAAATTAGTATTCATGAAAGCGACTAAAACTTCTGGTTTTGAGGCACACTGGTGTGCTATAAACATATATTGCATAGTAATTTTATTTAAGTAATGTAGATTTGCCTCATCTCTGCTATCCGTTTATGGATCTTGATGCAGACTGATATTATGGTAATTTGGTAATGTGGATAGCTATGGAGAAGAGCAAAAGTAGTTGTTTGTAACTGAGGATGAGTTTTATGTGTAGATGTCTAAGAGAGAAAGTAGAGCACTAAATTGCCTAGATGCTACTGATTTAGAAATAATCTCTGAAAAAAGAGAGGTGTGGCTGATTTGCTGTAAGCTATTGGAAATCTTGATCAGCTTGTAAGTTTGCTAGGTAAAAATCATTTTTGTCATAGTGTATTTCTGAACTGAAAATCTAATTTATGCAAGTACTGCATGACGAAGTGGCAAATGAAGCTATTTAGGCTGACAGCAGGATTATAGAATTCTGTCACCTCTGCCACAGAGCAGAAGTTGCTTCCTTTGGTTTTTCTTAATACTGAAAGCGTAGTCTTAAGTGCTGTCAAGTGTCTAATAAATAATGGGTGAGACGTATGCTGTTTCCCTAAGAAGCGCTGTGGAATGAGATGCATCTTTTGCTCTTCTGGATTCTGGTTTGCACTGCAGTCCCTGACACAACATAGAAAAGTCCTACTAGCTTTTTATGAGAGTTATTGATTTGTCTTCCTACTGCCTGTGAGCTGAAGTGTTTTCCAGAGGATCTGCAATACTCTGTGTTGTAGCTATAATGCCAGCTGTCACAAACTTTTAATGGAGTGGTCCGAAATCCGCCTTTTGGTTGTCTTGCACAATTCCTCTGAATCTTACTGTGCCCTGATGTTTTAAGGCTTGCTATTCTGATTATTTTAAGTTGTTCTGGTTACAGTTTTGCTCAAGCTGTCCACATAGTTGAAGTTTGGGGAAGAGTAGATCAAGTCAAATATTTGAGATTTAAATAACTTCAAAGAGGTTCTGGTTTTAATGCCAGTAATTTGCATATCGTTAACAGGGAAAGCATTGAAAGACTTCAACTACAGTTAGACTATACACTTGCAGGTATAAAATTGTTGTTGGTGTAGACTGAATATATTTAAGGATGCTTATGCAGAAGAATGAAAATGAATGACTTAGATATTTGCAGTTCAGAGAACTGTACAAAACAAAGTTTTTCATTTTGTGTGTGTCTTGTACTTGCCAGCAATGTACTAAGAGGGCCAGAATAGTTCACTAAGGATAGCATTTAAGTGGACTGAAAATCGGATAGAAGTCTTGGCAGGGCCCAATAAAGAGCAGAAGATGTTCCACAATATTTTTTTTTTTTTCAGTCCTGGCTCTCATTTTTATCAATATAGATAAATAACATGGAGAGTCTTCCACATTTTTGTAAGTCTCTAGGGATTTATGAAGCAAGACTTTACCTTGAGTCTTAATTCTTTTGAAGTTTCTTTCCAAGGGTAGGTTCTATGCACCCAGAGTCTGAAACCTCTTAAATTTTATTAGCAGAGTCTCCTTGATTTAAGTCTGTTCTCATGCACTGTACCAAGTGCATGAACAAGGTGCAAGATTAGCCACTGCTTCAATTCTTTCACATTGTCTTTGGTTTGAGGCAGTGCATGTTGACTGCAGTTTTTGCTTGGGTCTCTTAGGCTTGATGATTTTTGACTGCTTATTGGGGATGGCCAGTGCGCAATCTGTAGGCTGGATTTAGATGGCATCTTAATGGCTCCGTGGCTCACAGCACTTTCCTCACCTGCAGCTGCAAGGGAGGCCACAGGACTGCAGGACCTTGGCAAATGCTGCTTCTTGTTCTTGGGCTATGGCTATGCCCTAGGGAAGCCAGGCTGCTGCTGCTACCCTCGCTCAGGAGAGGCTAGGCAAGGGCTTGGCTGGTTTGGATTCAGAGGGGCTGGCGTGTCAGATCTGTGAAGCAGGAGTTGTACTGGGCTGCTTTCCATCCCAAGGAGTAGCTGTGGACAGTCAGGGGTCCAGAGCTTTGAAGACCTGTTTTACCAGGGGCTTCACTGCAGAGGCCTGTTTTTGAGCTGGTGTAGGAAGAGTGTCCTTGGGGAGAAAAGGGAGAGAATGATCCATGGCAGTACTGCTGGGCTGTGCTGTGCTGGTGGTGTCTGATAGAGGAATGACAGATGAGGGATGCTGTGTTATACTGAAGGGCAAGGAGCTGGGGCAAAGCTGTGCCAAGCTGGGTGTGGAAGGTGGTGACAGCATTTCAGCAGGTATCGTGTGTATGTCTGTCCTTGGTTACTGAAGGGAGACGAGGGCTTGTCTCAGGTGCAGGGTGTTGCCTGTTCATCTTTGCTCCAGTTATCATTATGAATTGAAGCGAGAAGGCTTTGCCTGTGCTGTTGAACCCTTCCGTGGTGCTGGGCAGCGTTATGTAGAGAGGCCAGTTGGGTCTGAAGATGCTAATGCAGGTACAGCCAGCTGATGCTTGCCTAGCATATTCTGACTAGTTGCAGTTGGATGTATCGGGGTTTTTTTGTTTGTTTGTTTTTGCTTTGTTTGTTTTTTTTCCTCGTGTGTCCTGTGACATCACCATGTTAATTAGGTTATTCTCCAAGTCAGGGGTGGTTGACTGCATGGTTGACAGTAGTATGCTAAATCTAGGCCTAGAGGAAAGTGCCTCTGGGCCTAGACAAGTTTGCCATATGGAAGTAAATAATTTGTTTGTTGATATCCTGTTTCTATTTTAGATAAAATTAGGATAACTTAAATTAGGAAAAAGAGTATATTCCTACTCTTACCTTCAGTCTTGTTCTCGGTTTATTTAATTGTAGGTAAGGATCCAAGGATCCTGTACCTTTAACGTTCAGGTTTTAAGTGACATGGTCTGTGAGTGTCTTTTCACCATAGATGACAACTGAAGACTGTAATCCTTGTGCTCTTCAGAAGATGAGCTAGTCAAAGGAAAAAATTTACGGTGTGGTTCTATTGCTCTGTCCTTGGGTAGAAGAAGAAAAGGATTCCAGAGCAGTGTGACTGTATATATCTTCTGGAAGAGGATAAACTGTCTCTTCAGTCAGTCTGCTTGCATTGAGATTGGAGCAATGATGTGGGGATGTTTTTGTCTTCTAGTCGCATGGTATTGTGCATCTCTCTGACACCACATGGAAAAATCCGCTTCCTATGGACGCAGGTGTGACTGACAGACCACCTCAGCAGGTGTAATCTAGAAATGATGGTTTCAGTCCCATAAACATCCCAGAAACATCTGACTAGTCCTATTTTTCAGCTGGTGTTTGATTAGCGTTCCTCGTATTTTTCTCTTCTCCTGCCCTACGCTATTGAAAGCAGTAGGCAGAGATGAATCACCAGGAAAATTGGGAGCCCATTTAGTTGGAAGTGTGACAAGCTGAAAGAGCTGTTATTCTGCATGAATATTTCACAAAACATTGTACAAATCATACGATTGTTTCCTACCCATTTTTAAATATTTACTTCCACAAATAACGTTAAACAATATGACAATATAGTGTGTAAATAGTAACAATATACTAACAAAAAATCATAACATCTTTCTTATGTCTTTAAAGAAGAAAGCTTTGCAGTTGTCCCTAGTTTAGTAGGAGTTGTCCCTGGTTTAGTGGGGGCTTCAAATTTGAGTTACAGAGTATTTTCAAGTGGAGATGCCTATTTGAGGACCTCATTGTAACATGCACTTACAAGTGATGTCAATGTTTTTGCTTTATAAAGAGCCAAATTAAAGATTTTTTTTAAGGGATTACTTCAATTTAGCAATTTCAGGTCAGTTAATGTCTTAACACATTTACTTCTCCACCCCACTTGTGAATGGTCCACTTTATGAATACAGCATCATTCCAACGGATAAAATAATTGGGACTTTTGTCAGATGCTTCTTCCGTATTTATTACACTGCATCATGATGTAGCCTTGCTCAGACCCCTCCAAACTCATCTCAGAATTCCAAAATAAGTATTATTTCATTGGCTATATTCTTATCCAATTTCATACAAGTCATAAGGGAATGAGATCACATCAAACCTGTTTTCTGGAAAGGACGAGGCCCTTTAGGTGATCTCCTAAGTATGTAGCCTCTTTTTGAGAAAATAAAGGATCTTGCAATTTGAGATCCTGGCATTCTCAAACCAAATCTCCATATGTAAGTGTCTTATACCTGGCAGTGTCAGAGCACACGTAACAGGGCCCTTGCAACTTCGATGCTTTCCCTTAAAAATACCCTTGTTGCTGATACACGTAAGATAACAAACTGGCATTCTTTATCTACTCTGAGATACTGTATAATGTACCAGGCTCAGTCACCTGTTTCAGTAGAGAAATGTTCTATCCCTGTTACAACAGGGATCTGAACTCCCAGCTCCTTGGGGTTTTTTTATGCTGCGTTGCGATAATCTATGAATTACAGACTTCAGTGAGCATCAAAAGAAAGAGAAGTAACTGAATGTCTGGCTCTGAGTGATAGTCCACATGTACATTCACAGTGGAAATACATGTTCCTAATCACTTAAGACTAGATAACTTTTTACCTTTTGTGTAGTACTGGTTCAGGGTGATACATCAGGTATATCCTCTCTTCTGTTTATAGAAATGTGAACATCCTCCTTAATGGCTAAGTAAGGTAGACTGCTTGCATCATTTCTTCATTTTCACTCAGCCACCTGCTCGAGTAGAGTGCTATACTGCTGATAGTTTTTAAGCTTCATACAAAATGTTGTTCCCAATTTGTTTGTCATCCAGACTAGCCTATACAGCTCCTCAGTAGCCGTTCCAAAGAATTTTGTCCTCTTGTAGATGAGAACCAAATCCCATTTTCTGATGAGTGTGGGAAGTGTTTTTGCCACCTCAGAGAGGAACCTGTTCTTAATGTCTACTACAGCTGTTCTTCCTAAATGTAGAAGGAGAAAATATTAGGACCTCTACCACTTGTGGAACTTGTTATTTAAATAGCCTATGAAGGCCTTATAGATTACAAGTGGAAAAAAAACATTTCACATGCCTAAGTGCTGTGTGTTAGTGTGTTCTACAGAACTCCCAAGTGCAGACAGACAAAAGACTTGCATTGGAGAAGAGCTTCTGTTGGATGCTGATCCATTAGTGCACACGTGCCCCAAGAGCCCATGCCTGTCTAAGCACTGCCCACGTCTCAGCACTATCTGCAGAACTGAATCACTTCAGCCAGTGTCCTCCTAAGAGATGTGATTTCTTTCTCCCTTGAATCCTCCATTGTAGCCTAGCAAAGCAGAAGCAGACTTAATCTGCATACGTGATGATGTTTTCTGAATCTGCCCTCAAATCTGGAACTGCCTTTGGGAGTTTAGTTGGCACTCAGTCCCTGGTATAAGCGCTTCTTGTCAGTCTGTCTTCAGCCTTGGACTGCCCCACTCCTACTTACATGTTGCTCCTGGTAGCAGCGTCTTCGTACAAGGCACCTTTCTTAAGTGCTGCATTCAGTTTAACAAAATAGCCCAGTGTATTGGCCATCTTTCTCTTCAGACACCTGTACTGGCAGTGAAGTGTATTCCACAACCACGTAAAAAGTTGCTCTTGTTGATTGTGTATAGACTTTCTTCATCAACAGTAAGTTTCCTTCTTTTGCCAAGGCCTCCTTTAAGCCTCACAGTTTGCAGGGTTCCCAAGGATCCTGTAGCACAGTGCCACCCAGAAGTTCATCTGTACTTGACCAAGCTGTATGCTGTCTTGGAAGCCCCAAAGTCATGGCAGTACTTGGCAAAGAAGTTCTGCAGTTTTTGTTTGTGGGAGGGACTTAGACTTTCTACTAGGCAGCTGACTGCTTTGAGTGTGGCTACTTGGAAATGCCCTCAGTATGAGTTTGCTGATGGCCTATGCATTTCAGAAAAAACAGTCACTGCTATGTGATGTCCCTTTTTTTTAAGTTGCCTTGTCTCGGTTATGTTCTAGTAGTTTCCTTCTTTCCCTCTGATTTTTTACAGAGAAGGGTCTGGAGGTGGTGGGAGGTGTTCCATCTCTGCTTTTTGTACCTGCAAAAGCTGAAACTGTGTGACTGGGCAGATAACACTTGTGACAGCTCCGTGTCTCAGATGCTTGAAGCTTACACATGGCATGGAGACTAATAGACACAAACACATAACTCTTCTTTCTCTATTTTTGCAGACTGAAAATTTCTGTTCTTAAGGAGACTTTGTTGTAGTATACATTGAATATTTTGATAGCACCAAGATATATTACAAGTTCTTGTTTGGATAGTTGTTTTATTTAGTTTTGCATAGCTGAAAGGTATGGAGCTTTTAATAACATTGAGATTTCAAGTTGTTCTTTGCTAACGTTTCTTGTCTTGGCACAAACTTACCTGTTGTCTCACTGAATCCAAAAGACAATGTTATCTTTAATCTAAAATAACTCCAGTTATTCTTTAATGTCCTCACAGGTAAAATGTTCCAGTCTCCAGATATCACTCTTATTGTAGAGTTCATATTTATGTTTTATAAAGAGAAACCTATTGATTGGCTCCTGGACCATATCCTCTGGGTGAAAGTGTGTAACCCTGAGAAAGATGCTGTAAGTTTGTTTTTATTATAAAGCTTCTAAAATGTTTTCATTATGGTGAGTGAGTTGGTTTTGGTGAGCTGGAGGCTAGCATACTGTGTATTATGGTTACTGCATGTCCTGAAAGAGTCTGTCTTCCTACCAAGATTTCAGTCTCAAAAAGAACTTTAGAGAGACAGTTCTCAGAGGCATTATACCTGTTATTGTTTCAGATTTTGGAGATGGATGCAGCAGAATGAAAAGCAGAAGTCTAGTTAGTTTCTGTGTGTAACAGTCCTAAAATAAACTCATTCATGTAACCCCCACTGAGGCTCTGCAGAATGCCACTGCTTGGATAGCAGTCATAGAGAAGGTTCCGAATGGGGAATAAACTTTGGATTTTGATCCTTCATTTCTCAAGTAGCACCCTTGCTGAAAGACTGAATAAACAGGTTCTGTGTAAGAACCGTGAACAGTATTATATTTGCACAGCAGTCTTGGTAGCTTTCTGGAATGAAAACGGGAACAACTAGATGAATAGGTCTGGGTTCTTGTGGAGTCTTTTTGGTTCATGTAACATCACATACTTGCAGTAAAAACTCAGTAACCTTGTGTTGGTTCCTTGTGTTGGTTTTACTAAATGTGATTTTTTTTTTTTTTTTTTTTTTTTTTTACCCCCCCTCCCCATTTCAGAAACATTGTGATCGACAGAAATCTAACCTACGGATACGCTTCAGGCCTTCTCTTTTCCAGCATGTTGGCCTCCACTCCTCTCTAGCAGGGAAGATCCAGAAACTCACAGTTAGTAGCTAAAATTTTCCTTCCCTTCCAGAGCAGGCTGATTAAATGAAAAGCTTTGTAGCCTTTGAGAAAACAGGCATTTTCTTGTTGTCTGATATTTTCAAGCATGTTGTATATTACTCCAGTAGAAATGAAGTCTGATTTAAACTGGTTGCTCTCAAGAATAAGAAGTGCTAATCTCAGTTTATTTTTGTGGATTTTTGTTAGGAGATGTTTTTTCTGATTTTTTTTACTTTAATGGCATGTTCATCCTATTAATCAGTACTAGATCTGATACACCCAAAAAAGAGTAATGCATTCGTTTTCCATTTGATGCAAGTGTTTAAGTGTAACCACTTGGGAAAAGAGCATAATAAAACAGGTTATCTGACCAGCATGATGTTTGTCTTTCTTTCAATTAGGATAAAGACTTCCTGAAACCATTACTGCATAAAATCCACGTGAATCCACCTGCAGAGGTTTCGACATCTTTAAAAGTCTACCAAGGGCATACGCTAGAAAAAACCTACGTAGGGGAAGATTTTTTCTGGGCTGTCACACCAGTTGCTGGGGATTATATTCTATTTAAATTTGACAAGCCAGTCAATGTAGAAAGGTTAGTAATTATTTGCCTTTGGTCTCATATCTAAAGCTGCTTGTTCACCAGGAATGCTTGAAGATAGAATTTGGGGCTGTCATTATAAACTAAAGTGAAATGGTGTAGGGTCTTTGGAGTTCAGCTGAAAAGATGATCATTAGTGTCTTCCCTAATTCTTTTACTACTGTAAATTTTGTCTTGCTTTTTTTTTTTTTTTTTTTAATTTAATCCAGAACCTTTTTGATAATTGCAATTCAAAACCAGTGCTTCTCTGGCAGCTCATAAGAGAATTTAAAAGAAGCCAATTTGATTCTATTTGTATTTGGTTGGTCTGCTTCTAATTACAGAGTGATTTACAGCATGGTGTGTGGTACAGTATGTTGTGCCCTGCAGCCTTGGTCCCTTGATTGTCCAGATCAGAAATTTTGCTGGAGCATATCACGATGTCCCCAGACCTGAAAGCTGGGAACTCTGAAGGGTAATGTTTTTTTAGATGTAGCTGTAGGGCTTGAAAAAAGTCACCGTGCTAAGACTCCAAGTTGACCTATTTAAAAAAAAAATTAAATTTAAGGAAAAAAAAGAAAAGGAGGGGGCGTGCCCTTGAAATACAAATATCTGTGATTTGTTAGAGGACTAAAGGTGACTTCTTTTTAGCTACTAGTCAGATTAAATAAGGATAATAGAGTTTGCGCTTTAGAGTGTAGTAATCCTTTAGTTTTATTGAGACTCATTTGCTGCTTTGCTTTCTACTATCTTGCCAACATAGTAGTCCAAGACTTATAAAATAAATTGTTTATTTAGTGTCTGTTTAAGTGTTGCTATGTTAGTGGATTCCTTTTCTCCTTTCTTCACACACTTTATGTGGTTTTTTGAGGCCAGTACCTGTAGTCTGGTAGAGTAAAGTTTCCTTGGATCAATTTGACTGGATGCTTTTCTTGTGAAGCAGCCCTTTTTGCAGTCCTGAACTGAATCCAATTAGTCAACTTCTGCGCCTTGGTCGGTAATGAAAGGCTAAGTGTTCACCTTGGCTTAGCACAACAGTGAAGATCAGTAGTTTCTTTGTTACTATGTTGTTCCAAACTAGTCTGACCTATGAAACTCAAATTTGTCGTTTGCGATGTCAAATTACTCTCCCAGTTGATTGCTATGCTTTAAAAGACTTTCCTGGTTAGCTTTCCAAGATGCATGTGTTGATGAATATGACTGCCATACCTCCTTGGATTAAAGGCAGAATCTTTTTTATCCTGTGCCAATAGTTTAAAAAATACATATTTTTCAACTCAGATATATGAATTAATTGATGTATTTTTGATCAAATTTTCCTTTTCAAAGTTATGATTCAAAGTTATGAAGCAAACATTGTCCAATTTGTGTGTTTGGTTGGGTTTTTTTGTTTGGTTGGTTTGGTTTTTTTTTTTTTTTAATTACATGCATCTACATTAGGAACAGGGTAACTAAGCAGCAAATGTTGATCTTGGGTGGATTAGGATGAATCAAATCCACAACGGCAATTTTGGAAAGCATTGCTAGCAAGTGTCATAGGTCAGCACTGTTATTTAAAAAATGGCATGCACAGGTCTGAAGAAAATATTTTTTGATATGTATTACCTTAATGGTGAGGGAATTGGGGGAATGAGCGAGTACTAATTATCTGCACAAAAGGTGGGAAGATAGCATTCATTATTGTGCCCTAGAAAATTGCAGCTAGGCCTAAGGTAGCTACATCTACCTGCTGTGTTAAGAGCAGTCCCAGCAGTAGAGGATGATATAATTTTGTTGTTGTTGTTGTTGTTATTTCCATTTGTTGAAGAAATGCATTTTAATGCTGGAAGAAAGGGGACATATTGTATTCTGTTGCTTCCTTAAAGGAAGTCCACCAATTAGAATGATGCTACCTGTTCAGACTTAACGTTGTTTGAGCTATCATTGTAAGCCATTTCAAAGTTTATTACGATTTTAGCTTCTGTTGCCACAGTGTCCTCAAAAATGCAGTATTTTGCCTTTCTGAAGTCAGTGGCTGATTAGGGCTACAGGTGATGTAATCTCAAATTGTTGGGACTTGTTTTTGTTTGTCTCCTTACCTTCAGCAGCAGCAGATTTTGGTAGGTAAAGGTCAAGTGGAGTGATGATGTTTCCTGATATTTCAAGGATGCTTGCTGAGGCAGTCAAAAATAAAACTGTGACTTGCAGGTTGAAACACAGAAAAGGGAAAATGGACTGAGTGTTAGGTAGACTTACCTGGTGGGGAGATACATCTGACTGTGGGAATTAAGAGTAGAAAATATGCTTTTGAAAGCCATCCTGTGTTTGTGAAGGGATGCAACAGTTTTTCCTTTTTTTCTTTTTTTTTTAAGTAATAGAAAAGCTCTTTGAATTTACAGAAAATTTTGTCTACCAAGTCAGTTTGAGGTGTAGCTGCTTAATAACTCCCATAATAAATTCTTGATAAACAAGTTTTTCAATGGAAATACTGACCACAACTCTGAAGGAATGAATGGCAAGTCTGTCACACTGACAGAGCACTAACTTGTTCCTATAGTTTATTTTTCCATGCCAAAAGTTTTGCTGAACTGAATTTAAATTTTCTGCTGAGTATAGCAGTTCAGTAATTAGCTTTCATTAAGTCTGTAAATACTTCATTTTTGAGATCTGAGAATATTGTCAGGGATAACACTGGCAAGGATCTCTTAATAGTTTAAAGTGAGAACTGAGCTCACTTCACTAGGCAGAAAGTAACATTTGTGGCTACTTTGTGCAAGACCTGGTTGGCAGATGCCTGCTGAATATGGAACAGTCAGATGGTGCTTGTTCTAAACCACACCTGGAGAACAGGGATGTGTACCTCGAAATTGTCTAACGCTCGTTTTAGTAACAGCTCTTGTACTGAACCTTCTTCATTTTTTCCCAAGCAAAAGATCTCCAGCCACAACACTGAAGTCCCTTAATAGCAAGCTAGGATCTCATTCTTATTTTTGCAGTAAGATGATACATACCTCTCTTTCAGCAGCGTATCCTTGAGAATGATAGTAGATCCACTGACTTTCCTCTTACAAATAAATTGCACAGCAGTGTTGAAGGTGTGGTTTGGTTTTGGTTTCTTGGTTTTTTTTCTAAATAAATGGATGGACTGTTTTCTAAATGTTCAAAACAGCCTACATTGTGAAGACAAGAAATACTGAATTTCTGTTCCCTTAGGTTGTTATCTAATTATTGAAATCAACTTTGCTATTTTGGTATGTACACTGTTGTTCCAAGCCCACATTCAATTATTAAAGCCCATGGTTATATTTAAGAGTTTCTTTATGAAACATACATTATTACTACTTTAGTGCTAGTATGGAATGTAAATTCGTTTTCCTCACTATAAATAACAGATTCAAGATACTTCTTTTCTTTACTAGTTACTCTTTTCTTCAGAGATGTTGGTGAGGAAGGTTGTACCCAAGCAGCTCATTGTGAAGAGCTTTTGACTTTAGACATTGCTTTGTTTGAGGGTTTTTTGTATGTAGGAATCTCTGAAATACTGGTGGATGAGTAGTGAATCTTGAACAGAGGTAATAAACTTTGAATGTGATCCTGGTTTAAAACCAAACCAAAACCAAAACACGTCCCAGAAAGACGTTCCATTGCAGCACTTAAGTGATTGTGGTTGTGTCCATCATCATCACAACTGCCTTTGTTTTGCCTGCCTAAGTTTCAGAGTCCTCCCTATAGATGTGATTGACACAAATCAGATATTGTTTTCAAAGAACGTGCACTAATTACATCAAAGAAGCCCTTGAAAGTGCATAACCTGTGGCTGTTTTAATTAGATTATGTTTACACTTGTCAGCTTTTCTGCAATAGGAATTTAGAGTGGATATTTATAAAAAGGGCTTCAGGTTTATTTCAGAATAAATTGCTTTCAAATACTGATCTTTATTTTAAAAAAAAAAGCTGCAGGAAAAGACAAGGATGTGTTTTATACTACGGAAAAAAAAAACCAAACCCAACCCAACCCCACCAAAAACCAAACCCCACCCTAACCTCACTGGTATGTATATCTACATTTGCTTTATATTTTTAAAATACGAGGCCCATCCTTTCTTGTATGTAACTGCGTTGTAGTGTGACTTTGAATGTTTTCAAAAGGATTAGCAGAGTTGGGGGGGGTGGGCAGGGACTATTCTGCGTCCCCCCCAGCACTGCTTTTGACTCTGTAGTTGCCCCATAGTTGTGGTGTTCTTCTAGCAAGTTATTGGGTAGTCATCCTAACGTGACATTGATTATTAATAAAGTGATTTTATGAGGTAGAACTTGCTGACTGGAATTTCAGCTTTGAACTGACATCTTAATACTTTGACAAACCAGCTTGTAGATTACATTTACTATTTTGTATTCTGATACTGGTGTAGATACTGGGTGTGCAGTATTTGAGACTAATCATCTAATTTTCCATATTGTTGACCCTGGAATCCCAGGAACATGTGATGTTAACCTTACATATATTTCCCGTGGCATCTTCTCACAACATAGAATTCCCACTCATGCAAGAAATACATATATTTGACTATTTAAGCTAGAAAAATCAATGTATTGAGTGTGAAGAGTACCTTGCTGGGCTCCTTGTAACTAAACATATGCGTTACTTTGCCTGGAAATTGTTGTAACAGTGCTGAAAAATACCTGTAGAAAAAGTGACAGTTGCTTGTCTGTTATTACTGCCACTTCATTGTAAAGAAAAATAAACACAGCTTTTAAAATAGGTTCTCTAGCAGTGACAACTTAAAAGGAATTTAAGTAATATTTTTTTTTAAGTACAACAAAGTTACAAAAAAAAAGTATCATAGCAGTTGGTCATGTATGTATCTAAAATGTAGTTAATTATCCATCCTGTGGGATGCAAGTCCTCCTGTGGGTAGAGAGATCAAATGCATTACAGAGGAAAAAAAGACTTTCTAACAGCTTTCCAAAACTGGCAGTGAAGTGGAACTTTCTCATAATTTGCTTTTGCAGTAACAACCACTTAAAACCTAAGG